GGGGGGGGGAGGCGGGGTGGTGTACGTATGTACAACGCGAATAACCTTGCCGATTGCGCTATAGAATTTCGCCTGAGTCATAGCTCTGCCCAGCGAGAGAGCGAAGGCCCGTGCGTGACGACGTTACGAAATGCGAGTCATCGACGACGACGTGCGAGCCACGTCGTGACGCGCGCGAGTTCGTCCGCGCGATCGGATGCCCGCGCGTTTCGTCGAGGATGATAAGAAAAAAAAAAGGAACAATCCTAGACTCGCGACGTACCTGCATGCCTCGAGAGATGATTTTCACCCCGGCTCTTCTACACACCCCACTCAGTAAAAAACATGGCGAGCTACTAAACCGAAGGAGAACTCCACACGCCACACACTCCACACACGCACACACACACACGGGCACACATGCAATACTCCGTCCTTCGATCACAGAGTTGCAAGTACTGTCAACGCCAAACTTCACGCTAGTAACGGGCGTTCGAACCTAACCTAACCATGACATAGGGATATAATTCGAAAATTGCGTCGGTTACGCCTGCGTCGTGTTATGATTGGTCGAAATCTTGTCTTCCGGAATACTCGAATCAAATGGTCCGTTTCCTGTTCCTGCACTAGACTGAACTAGAACTTTCTTTCGCGCTTTCTACAAGTTCTAAAAGTGTACACTATAGTTCAGCTACGGAAAACAGACCTATTGTATCGATAACGGGCGAGTTCTTTTAATTCATCGCGTGATCAATCGCACGATGCGCAAAGTACATGTTGCATCTGTACATCATGCGATTGATCACGCGATAAATTAAAAAACTCGCCCCATATAATTCTTTTTTACAGAATAAAAACGCGTTAAGGGGATCCTAAAGTCGTCTGCATTACTAACTAAATCATATAATTTTTGTATCGTAAATATTATAGGCTTTCTACAATAGAGAGTCATTACCTAAGTTTTAAGTATTAAGTCATAAGAAATTGATCAATCACAATCGAATGTGAGAAGAATAATCAACTGTGAGTGGTCAATTTCTTATGACTTAAACTTAAAACTTAGGTTATTGTAGAAGGCCTATTATACTTTTTTTGTCATTGTTCACAGATTCGAAAATCTTTTAAGCTGCTATTCTGTAACTGTTTTTACACGTCTATCGATAGTTATCGGTGCAGTGTTGCGCAGCTTTTTTGTCATACAAAATATTTGCGCAACGACATCGACAACTGTCGGTAGGCGTGTAAAAACAGTTACAGAATAAGGCCTAGACCTATTCTGTAACTTTTTAACGACAATTTTACTAGCTAGGGATGTCGTTGCGCAGATATTTTACATGGTATAAAACCTGCGCATCGACAGTTAACGATAACGATACCGAATTGTCGTTAAGTTACAGAATAGGCCCACAGGGGCTCCATTCTTGAAAAGAAACGTATACGAAAGACTACGACAATACTGTAGTACGACAATACGTAACGTATAATGTAGTATTTTCCTAAATTTTCATATACATTTCTTTTCAAGAATAGACCCCCTGGAGTCACATGGAGCGGAATGGAACAGCGGAACGAAACAGTGAAACCAATCACAATTAATTGCAGAAAGGAAAGCAGAGTAATGATAGCATTGTTTTCTGATTGGTCTCACTGTTCCGTAACTTTCGCTCCATGTGACGCCGATCTTACAGGATTAAAATGTTTGCAATAAGGCTCAATATGTATTAAACAAATAATGTAAAGAGATAAGGCCAATAATTTCGTTAAAATCTTTAAATTAATCTAATATTATATGTTGCGAAGAATATCACGTAATTATGGCGTTTCGTCCCAACTTCCACTAACTGGACTCATCGAGTAAGGCATTGTAGTGGAAGCCTACCTTAGACGCCTGTTTAAATCGAGATTCTATATATACACGATATACGCATATCAAAGCACTTGTGAGAATTTTTGCGAATATCTATAGACCTCTGATGGCGGGTCAACGTTGTAATATTCTTCGCAATATTTATTATTACAGGATTAAAGTTATACATTAATAATACGTGCTTGTATGGTAGAATCTATACTGAAAACGATAAAAAAATTTTTAAATTGAGTTCTTTACCATTTTTTAATCCAATATAGCGCTCCAGAGTCGTATTTCTTTTATATGAAAGCTGCGCAATCTGATTTAAGAAATAGTAGTCCACCAGTAACGTAATTGGCACGACAAACAACGTCGAATGCTTATAGACACTTAATCACGACGAATTTATGATACGAAAATTAACAGATAAAGCAACTGCGTGCATCACTGCCTGCGTGAGATATTAGTGTGATATATACTACTGGACCCTTTGACTAAAAGACTGGACCAGCTAACGCTTAGGCTGACGGGGATATAGGTGCGAGAAAGAAAGGTATAGTGAAACTAAAATTCGTAATGCGCATGCTCAGTTCCGTTCGTCAATCCATTCCATTATTCTGCATTCCGGTTACCCAACCAATGGATGGAACCACCTGACGAAATTGGGCATGCGCATTGCGAATTTTAGTTTCACTATACCTTTCTCTCTCGGCTTCAGCCCAATACATTGGTCGCGTTCAGCAGACTCCGGAGCGGATCCGTGAGCGCTCGCTGCTATTGGATGATCTAAAATAATATACCAATAGCAGCGAGCGCTCACGGATCCGCTCCGCAACAGTTGAGTCTGTTGAACGTGACCAATAAGGCCATCACACGTATGTACAAAAATTTTAGTAGAATCGTAAGGTCGTAAGCAAATCGGCCAATCACAGTTTAGCGTATTAAAATGTGAGATCGTAATCTTGATTGTGATTAGTCGATTTGCTTAAGACCTTACGATTACTACTAAAATTTTCGTACGTGTAACGGCCTTTAGCGGTATAGGCAATGATAGCGTTCCAGTATGTTCTAAGGTAAGGTATAAAGTCGACTTACAGTCAACCTCTGAAGGGCCTTAACAAAATCGACTTACGGTCGATTGTCGACATTTATGCTGTTAGGGGGTGTGTGAATGATAATAAAAAGTTATAAATCTTTCCTCAATAAATTATGGAACACAAAGATATTTAAAAAATTCTTACAACTGCCTCACAGACAAGCGCGTGAGAGTAACGAGCAATACCTATGAGTCATCAAATAAGCTGTATATGTGTAAGTTTATAAAATTTTATATGTGTATGATACGATATATATAAATATTTTGAAGCACTATCCTTTAAGATTAAAAAACTGTCAAAATTATTAAGGAAAAATTGTATTTTGACAAAAATTATTTAAAGTAAAATTTCACTTAACTATAGCGTGTGAAAAAATTTTGATTCGCTCTTGGATATCGCATGAGAATCATTTTTCGTTGCATTTGAAACTGAAAAGGTCGATTGAAGTTTTTTCTACACAAATAAAACAACCGTATAACAATACTAAAAAAATACAAAAATTATTTTAATTATTTTAATTTTGACGCTTAATTATTTACACTTATTTTATTTATATACTTAATTCAATGTATTAGAAAGGTGCATAA